ATACAGACATTTTCCCGCACGCATATCATACCTCAATACAAAAAGCAGGGAGCCTCTAGTCTTACCAGACTAGGTTTCACCCCCTACCATGAGGGTGGTGTGTCACGCCGACCTGTCCTACCCAATACCCAGGCGACCTGTGCGTTTCTTGACGCAATGATCTTGCACATGCCAAATAACCCACCTTACCATACTGAGATCCCCCTCCCAGAACTCCCCTCCGACGAATCCAGTTTTCCATGGCCGGATTGGGAGGAGGTCCCAATGCCCAAACGTGAGAAGTTCCTCCAGAATGTTCGTAACGCCCATTTTCGAAAGAAATCCTTCGATACCATCCCGCATCCAAATAATTAGGTTGAATTAGTGTGAGACACTTTGCTGCAATGCGTAATTCGTCATGTGACCTCGGTTCATAATGTTCAGGTTGTGTCATCCCTTTTCTCGTCTTTTTTGCCGGTCTTTCGATCTCTGAACTGTATACCGTTTCGTTCCCACCGACATGCCTTTCGTAGTCTAGGTTCGTTTTCTGTACATTAGAAACCCGAGCGTCTCACATACTCCACACATACCCGCCGTAAAACACGGCAAGGGGTGCGGTGGAAGCGTCCACGGACCGCAAGTGAGTGCATCCAAAGGGAGGGCTTGATTAATCAAGATTCTAGATGAATGAGATGCCCAAAAGAGTGGCGTTTCAAAGGGAAGAGACATTGGCCCTCAGACATTGGCCCTCGCTAGTTCTGGTACATGGTGATGAATACATGACTGTAGGGTCCAAACCTGGAGAATCTCTTTCTGGTGATGAAAGGGATGCTGTTTGAGCTCTGGTGACACAGCTCATGTCGCTGCGGCTGTTGATGGAAGTGAGATTTCTTGACTTAAAACCGCTAGCGGCCCTAGCTTGAAGAATTCCCTGTTATGATTCACGTCACACACCCATCAGTTGACATCATGCCCATCAGCTGACACATATCCATGAGTTGATGATGTCTGAGATTCCACACCACTAGCGCCACTAGGGAGTTCGAACACTTTTTCAACCACAGTTTCGTCGTATTCTCCGCGGTGCAGGTTCGGCGGCTGCAGGCTGAGATCTGTGCGCAATACATCTTGCACTACAGTTCCAATGTGGTCGGAATACTACAACATACACACGAGGTATCGGATCCCACAAGGATGGTTGAACATGGTTAAGCGGAGGTTCTTCACTGACTATTGTAGCCCTGATATCCTGGTCCTGCGAGGAAAATGTCCCAAGCATTTGCGGGTGATGAGCCGATCACAACATATCACAACAAGCTCTCCTGTGTTTTACATTCTAAAGTTGAAGAGAGAAGTGACCCTCACCAGTCTGCCACTACAATCCTCCAAAAACAACAGCAAACAGGCAAACATGTATGTTTGAGGTGCTCCTTGGCTGGCAAACCGTCGGTGTGTCCAAGGAAATGTTGAGGGGCCAACTACAATTAATGAGTTAACCTATTATGGTAACCTTTATGTGTGACCTTCAGGACTCCCAGGTTGCTGGACCATGGACCTGTCAGAGGATTGCTGGATCCATGCTGTTGACTTACATGCGATCTCTTCATTCTCAGCCTGGCTGTCCAAAGGATGTGCTATATACATCATGTCAACACGACATGCATGGCCGCAGGCCCTTGGATCCGCTGGTATGACATGCAAAAACCTGGTCCCGTGGAGGCCTCGCGTGGCTGAGCAGGGGCGGCCAAAAAATGTGGCGGACCAGTGGCGGAGCCAATAAAGGTGTGGAGCAGCAAAAAGATGTGGCGTAGCCGAGAAGTGTGTGGCGTAACCAAAAAGTGTGGCGTAGCCGAAAAGAGTGCGCGCAGCCGAAAAATGTGGCGTGGCCAAGAAGTGTGTGGCGTAGCCGAAAAATGTGGCGTAGCCGGAAAGTGTGGCGTAGCTGAAAAATGTGGCGTAGCCGAAAGATGTGGCGTAGCCAAGAAGTGTGTGGCGTAGCCGAAAGGTGTGCGCGCAGCGCGCAGCCGAAGAATGTGGCGTAACCGAAGAATGCGGCGTAGCCGAGAAGTGTGTGGCGCAGCCGAAAAATGTGGTAGCGTAGCCGAAGAATGTGGCGTAGCCGAAAAATGTGGCGTAGCCGAAGAATGCGGCGTAGCCGAGAAGTGTGTGGCGTAGCCGAATGCGGCGTAGCCGAAAAATGTGGCGTAGCCGAAACATGTGGCGTAACCGAGAAGTGTGTGGCGTAGCCGAAAAATGTGGCGCTATAGCTGAAAAATGTGGCATAGTATGAAGAATGCGGCGTAGCCGAGAAGTGTGTGGCGTAGCCGAAAAATGTGGCGTAGCC